CTAGATCGGCCTTATCGGACGTTTTGATTCTTAAGGTGAATAATGACGCACCTCTGCTTGCGGGTGGTTGGTTCATCCGCAAGCTTGGTGAAAAAACCCGTTCAGGTCTCTAAGGACCCAGACGAGCCTCTTCCCCACTGCCCATCTACCTATCATGTAACGGTGGAAACCAGCCAGGGGCTGAAATGCCTCAGTCAGGTTTCCACCACTCCCTAGATAGAGAAGACAACTCTATCGCCCTGAGGGTAGAGGATCCTCTAGCGTCAGAACTTTGACCGCGGTTTTATTTAAAGTGGAATTTCTAACCACCCCTTAGAGGAACTCTGCCTTCGGTGGGAAGCCGATAACAGCACCATCGAACAACAGGCTTCCCGCCAGGAGTCCCACTACTAAGCCACTACGAATGCTTTACCCATGTATCGAGCTACTAAACGTGCGCACCTGGCATATAGGCATTATCACACGTTTAGATTCTCAAGATAAAGCGACTCACCTTCGCTCACGGTCTGAACACCGTGAGGTTCGGGGTAGAAGCCACCCGATTCACAGACTAATCATGACTTCTCCAGCTTGTCTCTTCCATAGGGGTGGTTTAACATGTTGCATTCAACCGTGTGCCGCGCGTAAAGGAATAAACGAAAGGGTGATGCATCAGCCCCCTACCCGCTACCCATAGTTGCGCTACGCCGTAGTTCAGCTGGTCGTGCACCCTCTCCCGGATTTACATTCAGGATGTACTAACATGTGCTACTGATCGAGCACTGTCATCAGTCATCAGGCGGACGGCGGGTGCTCGATCAGCACAGATGGGTCAGGGTACTACATCCTGAAGGCAAATCCAGGAGATGGTGCACGATCAACTGAGTAGCACAGATGGGTCAGGGTACTACATCCTGAAGGCAAATCCGGGAGATGGTGCACAATCAACTGAGTAGCACAGATGGGTCAGGGTACTATTGTACATCCTGAAGGCAAATCCGGGAGATAGTGCACGACCAACTGAGTAGCACAGATGGGTCAGGGACCAATAACGCTTACACCAAATTGAACCCGAAATGTCACGAAATATGAAAGGTTTCATTGCCTGCTGAAATAAAACATAAATAAAGATCTTTTTTGTATAGTGTATGAAGTGTAAACTTTATATCCAAATGATCCAGGACAGAATGCGTGTCCTATAATAAAGTAGGATGATCGATATTCACGAAGTACGAAAAAAAAATTGTGTTTGTAGTTGTGACCCGTGTGTCGCTCGGAGAGGTCGACGTTCTGTATATCCGTGTGAAGCGTCTATTTGTAACCAACACTTCTCTACATTTGATATCGGCCTCTTTCTTCCGGCACATTATGAGTTTGCGCCTCCTCCCACGGATCCATCACGTCGAGTCATTTGGAGGCGGATTTCAACTTTTACTAGGAACAATCCACGAAAATAAATTTCCATTTGCACGTGACAATTCCTGTCCGTCTCTCCCTTGCCGATGACGAACGACGCGGAAGAAACAAGCTTTATCCAAAGAGAATCGATTTGACTACAATTGGAAAAACTCATTTTAAATCACATTTTACTATTGAAAAATTTAAATGTTTAGATCATTTTTCCGATCTGCATATTTATAAAACTATTAACTGTCAATGTGTTGAAAATTGAATAATCTGGATGGTATGGTCTATATGAAAAAACAAATTCAATTGTTCAATTATTATCTGCCAAGCTTTAGGCCTATTTAGGTCGACATCACAGCAAAACAATCTTAAAAGTGGCTACAAATTGTCATAATTAAGATTATTCCGAGATCGTGAGATGCGATCTGGTGTGATGTAGGTTTTAGAAAAACATTTTCTTTATCGAGCCAACGTTTCGATCATATTGAGATCATCTTCAGGGCTCAAAGTGTTTGTTTTCTGCGTAATTGTGGCACTCTCAACACGACACACAAGAATGGCACAATTACTCAGAAAACAAACACTTTGGGCCCTGAAGATGATCTCAATAAAGATCGAAACGTTGGCACGATAAAGAAAATGTTTTTCTGAAACCTACGTCACACCAGACCGCATCTCTCGATCTCCGAATAATCATCGACTAACGGTCACTAATCACCACATATAATTAAGATTCTTTACTTTATGGAAAAAAGACGATTTTAGTAGATGGTTTCAAATTTATTTAACATGAGTTGTTACAGTCCGTGGCAGTGGACGACCATGTTGGTGGGGTTTGGACCAAATTTTTTTGGTGAATCCGCACTCCCAAATATCACATATATCCGTCACTTCTTGCATATAGGCACTAGTTTCAACAAGTTTTTTTTTTTTTTAAGTTGAAAATTTCCGTTTTTAACATTTTTATTTTGCCTTTCTATTTGCGCAACTCTGAATATAGCAATTTACAACATATTTTTTATGTAGATTGCAATAAAAATATAATAAAAGCTACCGAAATTTATCAATAACAAAAAAGTCTATCAACCAAATATTTTTCAATTAAACTACGTCATAAATTTTTTTCATGCAATTTAGTTGATTTGAAAAGATAAATCAACAAAATACTCCTTTTTTTCATATTTTCACAAACGTTCTGTAAGCAAAGTATGCCGAAAATGGTCAAATCTTGGATTTGATCTCATTGACGTGATTTCATCTTAGAAAACATTTAGATACCGACTTTCGCGGAATTCCGTGTAAATTAATTTTTGACTTTTAATTTCGAGCATGACAGTTCAAGATCTAACATAATTTTTCTCAAAACGTATTAGACCGATTTTATAGTTAATAATTCGTTTTAAAGAACTTGTCAAGTTCATTTATTAACTGTATCAAACATTAAAATTGGACTATTATTTATATTTAAAAGAACTAGGTTAATTTCTGAGAAATAATTTTTTTATTTTATGCATTTTCTTATAGAAATATTTTATAAATTTTAATTTCATATTAAAAAGCTTAAAAAGCTACGTTTCTCTTTTCAAATGGTATGTTTTACGTTAAAATCCATTCGGCCGTTTTTTAATTATAGATGTTCCAATGAGATATTCCTACAATGACTTTTCAAAAATTGAAAAAAAATTTTGAAGGCAGAATTGATAAATTTAAATTAAAACAAAAATGTATATTTAGGTAAATGCACTGTTGATGTGCTAAAATGAAATTTCATCTTAGTTTCAGGAAATTTATGACCTAGATTCACTATTTTTCATGGTCCGCTTGACCTAGTGGATCGAAATCACGATAGCTCAAGTGGTAGAGGAGCGGCGTATCAAGTCGAAGGTCGTGGGTTCGAATTCCGCTCGTGACACAGACTTTTTTATCTCAACTAAAAATCTAAATTAATTTATGACCTAGTTTAGTTTAAATATATCTGGTTTTTAGAATCTTTTTTGTTATTAATAAACTATGATAGCTTTTACTGTATTTTTATAGCAATCTAAATAAAATAAATAAATCTAAATAAAAATGCTGTAATTCAATTATTCTCATAGCTGAGTTGAGCAAATAGAACAGCAAAATAAAAACATTAAATAACGGAAAATTTCTACCGTTTTTTTCCCCCCACCAACCTGGGCATCCCCTTGTGCGATGGTCTTCAAAAAAACTAAAAACTTAATTACCACAATTTGTAAACATCTTTCAACAAGAGCACAACACGCACCATTCCTCAGTATAACTTTTAACAAATAAATCTTACTGAACATCAATGAAGATTTTATGTTTTTAATTAATTACTGCATAAAATTTGAATTTTACATATTATGGATTCGGACAAATTTGTATAATAATTTAGTCATTTCTACAATAGTTTTTATGACAAATCAAAATTGATCATTTTCATTATAGGGTACACTAAAAAAAATATAAGTGGATGTTTAAACACATTTACATCTTACAGAATTTTTAAAAATCAAAGTGGATTCGTAGTTAAAAGAGAAACAACCAGACACTAGTTTCACAAAAATTATTATTATTATCGTAAGGTTTTGTAATCAATCAGTGTGTTCACTTATTAATTTTTAATGGATAGCCTAAAAAGTGATAAATTCATGTGACAACTGACATTCAATCAATGATAGAGCATTTTGTCTTCTAACCTTCCAAATTTTTTATAAATCAAGTCTTTCATTATTTTTTAATCCGTTATAGTGGTCAGATTGACCAAATTACTTCTTTCAATTAATTAATCTTTTTATGTAAGGTTTTGGTTGAAATGAACAAATTAGGGTCACAAGAGGGATTCGAACACACCCCAGCCGAAGGTCATGGGTTCGAATCCCGCTTGTGACACTAACTTTTTCATTTCAACCACAACCTTACATAAAAAGATTAATTTTTTTAAATATTTTTTTTTCACCACTATAGTCTAACCATGTTTGAAGAAAAAAAAATTGTAATTTATCCTTATTTAAATGTTCACAGTATTTTTCAGTGTTTAAGTTAACTCAATAATAAAAAAGATAAATTAAATAATAAATATTTTTATTATTAAAGTGACACATATAAAGGTATATATATAATTAACATGCCAGTAATTTATTATTATAACATCCTGTAAACTATGTCACATATACAACTTACATTTATTCCCTTACTTTTCATATTACACATTAAAAATATATATATGTAAAAATTTGTATAAACAACGATATAAACATGTCGTGATGACCTTTGGTTTGATTTTTCATATTTTATATTTATATTATTTTTTCTGATTCCAGTATCAGAAAAATATATTTAATTAATAATTCTTTATAAAATAGTTTCATTATTTAATTAAAATAATTTTGTACATATTCAATGTAGTCGATTTCCTATATGTTCTTGGATGTAACAGTTTTTTAAAAGTTTATATTTAAACTTTTTCATTTTACCACTTTCAACAAATCATTGTTTTAATTTGATTTTACAACAATTCAATTCAATTTATTATTCAATAAATAAACTGAATGTTATTACTATTATGTTATTAAATTTTGAAAATATAGTAATAATTCTACAACAAAATTATAATTATTGACTTTTAAAAATATTTAAACTTAATAATGGATAGAAACAGTCTATGCAAATATAATGGACTCTATTCTGTTTGCATAATCAGCATTGATTTTTTTTAAAGAAATAAAATTAATCAGATCAGAATGTTTTTCTCAGTTTATATTAATTGGCACATTTCACTGAAGTCACTTAAATTTAAAATGTTTTTGATTTTATGCACATTATTTTAAACAATTTGTTAAAGAAAATTTACTACATTCGTCAAGAAATTATTTATATAATGAAGTTCATTTGGCAGTAAAGGCTTAATTACTTTGATGTTTAACACTCATTCCATTCTCATAAAAAAATACAAATCCCCACATTCTCATATTAAATTTAAAACATCTTACATAATTTTTTTTTTGTAAAAAAAGAAAATTTACTTGTTAAAAATTCAGTATATTAAACCTTATTTATAGATATAACATTTATTTTGATAACAATCCTATTTGAATTAGCTACCTATTTTAAAATCATTTTTTCTAAAGTGTGTGCAATATTTTTTCCTTTTATTTCATGAAATTCGGAGGATGTGGAAAATAAGACAAGAAGATTATCATTCTTGAGCCTTAGAAAATAATTATAATTTTTGTAATCTCATATTTTGAGCACCACCCTTTGACTTGTTTTTTTTTTTAAATATGTACATTCAGTCTCATTTGACATAGCGTTCATCTGTGCTGAAAGGCACCTATCCATAATAAATGCATTATGACTGTTAATCAGGTTTTTAACGTTCGTATATGTACATGTGTTCTTTTGTTAGTTGGGTCAAGAATTTGCTTTACGATATGAACAAATGTATTATAGGTTTTTCACTGTATTCATATTTAAAAAAGCCTATTGTGTGATATTGTTTCTGTAACTACAATCTATTATAAGTATTTGAAAATGAATTATCTACTTTATTAAATATTTTTATTACTCCTGACTATTGGAGAAAGCAAAGACTTGACCGAGTGAAATA